AAACTCTGATGAAATTCAATTGAAAATTCCTCCTTTAAATAAACATCATAAACCGTTAAGGTCATTTCTTATAGTACGTGATATCTTTGTCATAAAAAAAAAAGGAAAAATCTGAGGCAAGCTGAATATGTGAAGTGGAAGAAGGCATAGTCATTCCAGACCTCTGGCCCAATAGCCCATACACAACTGCATACAATTTTTTCTAATCACTGCCACAAGAGGTTACCTGACTTGTGTAGTATTCAACTTTGCATTCCTTCACTGAACAAACAACAGCCCTACACACAGTCGTATACTCTGATCTAGTACAGTCTGTTTGCCGCCTACACCACTCGTATTCAGCACTTCTATGATCCCTATGAAGAGAACTTATATATGTCATACCATGGACTGTAATTTTCTTCATGACCTTCGGTCAATAACGGTCTGAAATGGACTGGAAGATATCATTATGTAACTTAACCATCTCCTCAGAGGACAAAGCAGAGGAGTCGACCCAGTTCAATGATTGATTGACTTTGTGATCAATCATGGCCTGATCAATGTTTCTATAGTTCCTGAAAGTAATTGTTTTACTGTACTAAGGGGGTCTTGGGATATTGAAACCAGAAGTAACCAAAGCATGGTTAGAAACTGCTGGATCGATTAAGTCAACTGCAACATTTCATACACGATTGCAGTCAGCAAGAGACAAAACTAAGTCTTGAGTGTGTCCAGAAAGATGTATTGGACATGACACATGATTGACAAAATTGATTAGATTGAGAATTTCTGAAAACTCTGTGGAAAAAGTTTTCGAGATGGGTTGTCAAGCCAATAATTAGTCACCACAGATCAACCATTGCCCATTATTTCCTGAGAAAGTCTCAAGAAACAAACCAAATTGATCCATGAACTTCCTGTCTTTACTTGGGTGCCCAGGACAATATACAACAGCAATTCTAATAACTTGGCAATGAAGATCTTTTAATGCCTCCATAAATTCAAAAAAGGAAAAAAAAACCAGTCACTACTAATCAGTCTAATGTTGAGCAAGGCCATAGGATAAACCAGCGCTACTCTGCAACATGGAGGTCTTGCAGCAGGTCTGGGAACATGAACATGAGAGTGTGCCTTAACCCTTTCACCACGTGGCTAGACTTTATTCACATTTTTTTTTTTTGTCCTTCACCGCGTAAATCGACATTAGTCCTTCAGGGTTTGAATTATGCGCTGGCCCAGTAGATGCTGCCACATATTGGCGACTGGGGCAAGCTGAAGCTCCCGCCATCAAAACACTCGGAGTCAACATTGCTTCTCTGTGTTTTGCCCAGTTTCCCCATTTTTATGACTAATAACTTTTTATATTATATACTTGTATATAAGGTTAGTATTTATTCTATAGATTTAATACTAGCACTTTGAGTGTGATAATCATTAAATTAGAAGGGAAATGAACTAGGTAATTTGGGAAGTGAAATTATTTCATGCATATGCCATGATGGAAAATTGTGACATTGATTATTCATGTTTTTGTTTTTTTAGGGATACTATTTTAAAAGTTTAAGAGTGTGCTATATGAAATATGTATTAGAAAGCGGTAGTACATAATGAACAGAGGAGAAAGGAAACATAATATAAGAGGAAATAGAGCGACACAGATAACCAGAGAGCCAAACATGGCATATTGAGACGGGTTTTCCGATACTTCATGTTTTTATTTGCCTTTCAGAAATGTCTGGAATATGTGAGTGAGTAAGGCGTGTGTAAAATGTGAAAGAAAATCAAGTTTTTATGGATATATCTAAATTTATTCTTTACCTAAATATATTCCCAAAGGTGGTCTACTTTCCTGTCATACAATCAACTTCATCTTTTTAATCTTAATTTATATTGTGTTCTAGTCCAGTAAATAAAAAGTGCAACAGAATAACTTGTCTATTCCGATCTTTTATTTCATTTACCCACTAACATTCTCGTCTGTGCACAAGTGATTTTCACATTTGCCCCTAAGATATAGGGTCTCTATATATATATACAGCTAGACCCCCGACTTACGACTGCTTCGACTTACTGCCGTCGGGACTTACGACATAGATAATTTTTTTTTTTTTTCTCTCTCTCTCCAAATGACACACGCATTTTCTATACCGAAACGTTTCCAGTTAATGTAGTCTCCATGTATAATTAGAAAATTATGGGGGGCCCATGTGCATTCAGCTGACTACATTAAAGGTAAGTGCTCAGTCACACTGTATCCATTCTCATTATTTATTACTTTCACTGTACTGTATTTCATTGTAGATTTTTTATTAAATTTTTTTTTTTTTTTTTTTTATCTATGTCGGACTTACGACCATTCGGACTTACGACCTGGATTTGGGTCCCTAACCCCGTCGTAAGTCGGGGTCTAGCTGTATATATGAATAATGGTCAGTAATACAGTATAAAATTATATGACTTCTATGGAAGATTAAATATTTATCAATGCAGTTTACACTAATTGACATATCTACTTATGATATTGCCCATTATTATGAACACAGAAAATTTAAAAAAAAATAATGTTTTCCCCACAAAATTGTAAATTTACCCTAGATATTATTACTTTATGACTTTTTAATTGTTAAGTATGGATTCCTTACGCTTTTTTTTATTAAAAAAGTAGTTAAGGCGTTAATGTAAGCATTTTAATTTTTTAGTGACTTTTGGTGCTTATTGGGGAATACTGTATCTCCAAAATTGGCCGACGCGGTGAAAGGGTTAAGAAGAGCACTACAAATAATGTTGATGTCTGATTCACATAACTCCCTCAGAAACTCGTTAACGTAACACATTTTGTTTCGGATAACAAGATATTACACAGGCTTGCTTTTAAATGGCTCAAGTTTTTAAAACAAGTAAAGCCTATGTTCTCAATTACTTTTTTACATTAGGAAGTCATCATAGGGTAATCTTTGCTTGATGCAAAGTGACTGTCCTGACTTGGGTGTTTCTGCAAGAATGGAACAATTTGCACAGCAGGGTGTGGTCTTATTAGAGCATGTCTTATACTCATGGCTGTAACCCATAGATTTGGTTGGTCAAAAAGCAAGTTTCCTTGGACTGATACAAGGTTATTAAATAGGATACCTGTACCAGTTTTTATCCTGCAGAAGAATTTGTACACTTTGCACTGCCACTCATACATTATTTAGTGCCCCTTAGCAGGCAGACATATCACTTATAAGACAGCAAAACCATGTTGAGTAAAATTCCTGCAAATTTATCAAGGACACCTGTTAAGTGTATGATTCTGAAATACCTGTATGTGAACATGCATCATAGCTCAAGTTTTCAAAGGAATTTTTATTATAGTAAATAATTTTCTTTTAATGGAGTTGGTAAATTAGATATGAATATATTAATATATGTCCTGTCACCAAGATGATACCCTGTACAGTACAGTACAGGTTGTACCTCTCTAGTCCGGCATTCTGTGGTCCGGAAACTCCCGTGGTCCGGAATGAATTTAGTTTGTCCAGTAGGTAGATAGGCAGCCTTTTTTTTTTTTTTATCCCCCACTTATCTGAAGTATTATTATTATTACAGGAGTATTACCTTTTCGCCCCTCAGGCTCCAATGTGGGTCAGTGACCTGTGCCCGGGTGGGCTAATCCCCGTAAAAAAAAAAACAAAGCTGCTGAAAATTAAGGTTTGTTTACATCCGGCAGTTCGGCTCTCTCTCTCTGTTTGTCTATACAGTACAGAGTACAACATTTAACCCTTCAATATAGTATATGAACAGTAAATAAGTGTTTGCTTTCATATTCTTATGTAGAGTAATGACGATATGTTTTTACATGTGCTCACTTACATACGCGAGGTCTCACTTTTTTCTTTAACATTAATGGTTAGCTACTTATATTGTTCCATTTATTAACATTAAATAACATTACTTCAAACAGTCATATTAATTTTTACATTAATTTTACTACAGCTACAACCAGAGTCTTATTTTCTTGTTTTATATGTAGAACCAATCAGTCACTGGTTTTGTAAACATTAGCAAAAACAATGTCGGCAGCCGTCTCGTCTCCTCGTGTGTTTTAATATTCCACAAATTATTAATGAATTGTATTGTTCATTTTGCACACACAAACATTAATTCAATAAAAAAAATCAGAAACATTAATTAAAACATATATGAACAGTAAATAAGTGTTGCTTTCATATTCTTATGTAATGGCGATATATTTTTCACATGTGCGCACTTACATATGTGCAGTCTCACTTTTTTCTTTACCATTGATGGTTAGCTACAGTACTTATATTGTTCTATTTATTAACATTAAATAACATTACTTAAAACAACCATATTAATTTTTTACATTAATTTTACTACAGCTACAACCAGGGTCGTATTTTCTTGTTTTATATGTAGAACCACTCGGTCACTGGTTTTGTAATCAATAAAAACAATGCTGTCTCATTTCCTCGTGTGTTTTAATATTCTATGTATTATTAATGAATTGTATTGCTCATTTTGCACACATAAACATTAATTCAATAAAAAAGACATTCAGTAATAAACAATAATGAATCTTTTGTACATAAGAGAAATGACGCTGTTTACACGATTGTGCACGTCGTCTGAACGTTGGCGAGCCGTTCAAACCCATCGAAATTCGAGTTTTCGCCGTCAAAATTTTAAATTATGTAGTGTTTTTTGTGCCCAAATAAAAAACATTGAATTAAAAACTAGCGAAATTTGAAAAGCTACTGTACGACATTTAACCCTTCAATATGTCTTCAAAGAGACCACGAAGCAGTGAAAGTGGTGCTAATGTAAGCACAAGTCACTATCTGTCCAGGAAAAGGGTGAATTTCCATGGTCCGGAAATTTCCATGGTCAAGCACCGGTCAGGTCCTGAGGTTGCCAGACTAGAGAGATATAACCTGTATTATGTAGTGTAACCATACTGATGCAATGTGAAACATAGTGTCATGTCAAGATGAGTAAAGTATATTTTGTATTCACAGTTTTGATTTCTTCCGAGAAGTGATAGCAGAGGGGAAGCAATTGGAATACATCGATGAATATGTTGGTCCTTTTCTCCTTAAGTGGCTTCCAGGACTGCTTGCATCTCCACAGTCTGCTGATGCTCTTAATCTTATTATTGTCTTAGTCAAGTTCAATTCTGCATACCTGGATGAGCCTGTTGTAACTGGCTATGTAAAGTAAGTACACTGTCCCATATTTGTTTTAACATTATTTTTTGTAATCTGGTGTTGTAATAACTGAATTTTTATATTACTTATACTGTTCACTTGAGTTAAAGAAATATTTAAAAATTTAATTTAGAGTATAACTCCTTTACATAAATGGATATAATATTATAAAAGTCACTCTTAATTTAAACTTTATGGATGATTTTTACAAAAATTTATTGTTGAGAAGTGTTAATCTTTAGTGAAGAAGACAGTAACAAGAGCCTTGCTAATACATGATATACTGTACAGTAAAGACCCTGAGTACCAGACACTTTAGTAATTTCACAAATATTGGAAAGAATTATTTAAAAATTAAAAGAAAAAAAAATCTTGGCATATTGTGGGTCGTTGTTGTTGTTGTGGTGTGACACAGCATGGACCACATGGTTCTGCCAGCCCAGCCTGCATCATAACAATATAGATTATTGAAGGATTGTAATCTACGTATTCCCTTTTACTGATTGTTAAATCAACCTCTAATTCAACCCTAGCTTTTGAGAAATATTAGGTATAATTCTAGACATAATTTGTAGCAATACAACACCAATGTGTCTTAGCCATGACCACCACCACAACAGCTGATGCTGTGAACAGTGTTACTATCTCTGAAGCTTAATTCCCTTCACTTCCCAACTCCTATGAGAAATAAGATGAAATATACAATAGTCCCTGGCCAACTGTGGGGGTTAGATTCCTGAAAAACCTCGAGGTTAGTAAATCTGCAGTTGGCAAAACTAAGTGCTTATAGGAAATAGGGGGTTAGGTTCCATTGTAAGGGGCCTCGTTTTTATTTTGTATTTATTCTATTTATTCTTCAATACTTATATACAGTAGTACCCCGATTTACGCGGTCAATTAATTGAACCCACAGGGTACCGTGGAAAGTGAAAACCACGTAAAGTGAACAACAGAACATATGGGATTAATTCCAGTAGAGACTGGCCGACCCCCAAACTCCACTTTTTCCGACACAATACCTATGTTGTAGTAAAAATAACATCTAAATTTTATGATGGTATGCTCACACAATTAATATTTAAGAGGAATACAGTCGCTAGGTTTATGTCCATTCAAATAATGGACTCAAATCCCCCCCCCCCCTCTTCCCAGCTCACTAGCTCCTACCTCTCTGAGAAACGATTGGGTGAAAACACTACATTTTAACGTTTAGTAATAAATAATACCTCAGACTAAAGTTAGGATAATATAATTGACATTTCTGGATTCCTTGCAGGTCAGGGAATATTTTGAATGTAAACTTCATATGTTTTGCACAAAAGATAAAATATTTGCTGTGTGTAAACCAAATTATTACATTAGATCTAAAATTTGTATGTCTAATGCAAAATCCATGATGTTTATATTCAAAATGATCATCATAGTGTAAGAATTCCAGCAATGTAAATTATATTCTGGTCGAGTAATTTGTATGAATTTTATGAGCTAAAACAAATATCTTCAGTTGATAAAAAAAAAATATTCTTCACGACACTATCTGTCAATCAAAGTACCCCACCTTGCCTCCCCCCCTCACACTCTCACGCCAGCTGGGTCGGTCGGTCCCAACCCCCCCCACCTTCCCTCCCTACCAGAGAAATGTTGGGTGAAAAACTAGATTTTAACTTTTAGTAATAAATAATACCTCAGACTAAAGTTAGGATAATATAATTGACATTTCTGGATTCCTTGCAGGTCAGGGAATATTTTGAATGTAAACTTCATATATTTTGCACAAAAGATAAAATATTTGCTTTGTGTAAACCAAATTATTACATTAGATCTAAAATTTGTATGTCTAATGCAAAATCCATGATGTTTATTCAAAATGATCATCATATTGTAAGAATTCCAGCAATGTAAATTATATTCTGGCGGGTAATTTGTATGAATTTTATGAGCTAAATAAAAAAAAAAAAATTATACTTCACCGTATATATGAGTAGATGCACCATGGAAAGTGAAAGTCCGGTTCTGGCAAGGTACGCGTAAATGAGAAATCGCGGAAAGTGAAACAAAAGCGGGGTAATACAGGTTGTCCAATCTCTAGTAGGCATTTTTTTTATTTTTTTTTTACTTATCTGAATTATTATTATTATTACAGGAGTATTAAATTTTTGCCCCTCAGGCCCCAATGTGGGTCAGTGACCTATGCCCGGGTGGGCTAATCCCCTTAAAAAAAAAAGCCGCGGGAAATTAAGGTTTGTTTACATCCGGCAGTTCGGCTGCTCTCTCTCTCTGCTTGTCTATACAGAGTACAACATTTAACCCTTCAATATATATGAGCAGTAAATAAGTGTTGCTTTCATATTCTTATGTAGAGTAATGACGATATATTTTCACATGTGCGCACTTACATACGAGCAGTCTCACTTTTTTTTTTACCATTAATGGTTAGCTACTTATATTGTTCCATTTATTAACATTAAATAACATTACAGGTACTTCAAGCAACCATATTCATTTTTTACATTAATTTTACTACAGCTAAACTCAGGGTCTTATTTTCTTCAGTTTTATATGTAGAACCAATCAGTCACTGGTTTCGTAAGCTTTAACATAAACAATGCCGGCAGCCGTCTCGTCTCCTCTAATATTCCACGTATTATTAATAAATTGTATTGTTAATTTTGCACACACGTACATTAATTCAATAAAAACAAATTCAGAAACATTAATTAAAATATATATGAACAGTAAATAAGTGTTGCTTTCATATTCTTATGTAAAGTAATGACGATATGTTTTCACGTGTGCGCATGCGCACTTACATATGCGATCTCTCTTTTTCTTTACCATTATCGTTAGCTACTTCTATTGTTCCATTTATTAACATTAAATAACATTACTTAAAACAACCATATTAATTTTACTACAGCTACAACCAAGGTCTTATTTTCTTCAGTTTTATATGTAGAACCAGTCACTGGTTTTGTAATCAACGAAAACAATGCTGTGTCATTTCCTCGTGTGTTTTAATATTCTACGTATTATTAATGAATTGTATTGCTCATTTTGCACACATAAACATTAATTCAATAAAAAAGACATTCAGTAATAAACAATAATGAATCTTTTGTACATAAGAGAAATGACGCTGTTTACACGATTACGCACGTCGTTTGCACGTTGGCGGGCCGTTCAAACCCGTCGAAACTCAAGTTTCCGCCGTCAAAATTTTTATTTATTTATTTTTTTGTGTGTTCCAATAAAATACGTTAAGAATTAAAAACTCGCGAAATTTGAGAAGGTACTATACGACATTTAACCCTTCAATATGTCTTCAAAGAGACCATGACGCAGAGAAAGTGGTGTTAGTGCTTCCAGGCATAAGCACAAGTCACTATCTATCCAGGAAAAGGGTGAATTTCCATGGTCCGGCATTTTCCATGGTCCGGCACCGGTCAGGTCCCGAGGTTGCCGGACTAGAGAGGTACAACCTGTACTGTACTTGCTTCACATCTACATTTTCTATTACCCGGTAATCTTATTTTCTTTGTCTTTCTGTCTATAAGTATCTATCTTATATTTTTTTGCTTATATTTTATAAGTTAATATTCTTTTCTATACTTTATTTCTTCGGTCATATATATATATATAATTGTATTATCTGAATTTTATATCCTTTGTTTCTCTCAATTTATTATCATGCTTTAGTTATATTCTGTATCATGGATTAGTCTGGGTAAACCATGTCATTCTGACTATAACACTTATTATACTTACAGCGGTAGCTTGCCACCACCCAGACTTTTATTAGAATATAACATATCTCATTGAACTGTTAGGTAGCGTGCTAGCGAGCTTCTAGGCACGTGAGTTACAATAGTTATTTTCTGAGAACCATTGGGTAGAAGAAATAGAGCGGTGATACTCGTAGTTTATTAATTCAATATTTATTATCTTAAGGAGTGAACAAGATTTAAATAAGTACACTCAAACAAGACTGGACCCCTTAGGTCTTACTTTACAATTCATAAAATAGATCTTCAATTACTTATTACATCATTAAACAACTGTTATATTGACAATATCCCAAATTAAAATATTATTTAGCACCATGTTATTTCGGAATGAACATGGCACGTTAACTAGAACTCAGTTGGTAGTACATATGAAAGATGTACTCACAACCCACATAACAAACATTATTACTGGTCATCTCAATATTTATGGGTCAATACTCAACATGGGATAACTATATGTCTGCTAATTATCCCCAATCAGGTGCAACAATAATAGGTAGTACTCAGCTGGTAGTACATATGAATGATGTACTCACAACCCACATAACACGTTATTACTGGTACTGTCAATATTTATGGGATAACTATCATAGCTATATTTCTGCTAATTATCCCCAATCATATACAGCAATAATACTTTGGCCCATATACCTGTAAGGAGTGACCCAGTGTGTCACATGATGTCACCACAACAAACGAAGAGCGCTGTTAGGGTCGGTTGCAGTCTGCACACTGCGAGGGAGTTCGGGCCTAGTTCCCAGGGTGCGGACTCGCACAATTTAATCGTGCCAAATTAACGACATCCTGCAAGACAGCCAGCTGGTGTGCTGCTACCGGTCCCCCGGTAACTGTCGGGTATTCAGTTAACACACACACTGCCTGAGATATGATGGAACAGCGTCAGAGATGTGACAAAAAATAACTCAACGACAGACGATATTTACGTTACACTAATTCTTTCACTGGGTAAATGATAATTTCACTGTTACAACATGAACACTGATATTCACAAAATTCACTGAGTTAAACTAACTTAATATGGTAGGCGTGAGAACATACACATACCTGAGATATGATGGAACAGCGTCAGAGATGTGACGCTGCTCCTCGTACGCGAGTTTATATATGGCTAACTGGCAACTCAGGCCTGTGCTCTACACATGCCAGAAAGGCTAATCACTCAATGACAGAAATTATATTCAACTCAGTTGCTGTACATTTAAC